GTGGTGAATTATGGTTTAGGTTTTTTTTAATAAAGTTTCAAAAATTTCTATGTATGTGGAAAATGTAGTTGATTACCAAAGGTTACAATTTTTATTTTGAAGACTGCATGATCTAGGACAAGAAACCATCAAATTACACCGCCACTTCAAATAAACCATTGATCTGTCCTCAAAGTTCATCAACAAATATCGGTCTCTTATTAAGTTAAAAAAAACTCTTGGACAAAGGGGAAATGACAGTTAACTCAGAGTGGCGGAAGATGACCGCTGCGTTTCTGCAATAGCCAGACACCTCTGGTGCAGGAGAAGTACTGCTTAGTACATCCTTGAACCTCTCACCACAGCACCCTCAGCCGCTGGACGTTCTGACCTGTCTCTTATACACATCTAGATGTGTATAAGAGACAGGAGTAGATTAGTCTACAAACTTCACCTAAAGTAATTGATTTTACCCGGCAGAACGAAAGAAGGAAACTCCGCTTTTCAGTCGTCTTAGGCGCTCATTTTTTGACGAACAATGACCTTTCAGAGGTCAAATTGCTGTCAAGAATATGAATTGGCTGCTTCGCAGCAAAAATGGTCTCAAAGTCTGGCATACCCTTTTTGATTTGGTGGACCATGGACCCAAGGTTGGGAACCACTGATTTACATGGTATTGATGGAAAAACAAAGGGTTTTCTTTAAATCAGAAGAAAAAAAAAAGTAGGTTTATACTAAACCCTCCACCCCCTGGTTTATATACAGCCTGCAGGTACCCTGGAATCTTCATGGTTCAGCACACACACAATGGCTGTACCACCAGTTTTTTCAAATGAGTTCTGCTGCTTTCTGTCAATCATTTTATCATCATCTTTTTATTGATCAGCATATGCCTTCTAATCCTCATCCTCATTTCATGCTGAGGTAGTTGCTCAATATTCTAATAAAACATGTGATATTGGATCACCTCCATGGTTGGATTGACCTTGTGTAGGCCTATGCACATTCTGTAATTTGTCCTCATTGACTTTTTCAATTTGGAGTTTGGATTCTTCATTGATTCTTGACCGTGAAATATTGGTTTTTATCTATCTATTCGTATTGTGCATTAATGTATTCATATTATAATGCTGAATTTACTAGCTTCGATGCTCTTGAAGTTTGTTGCAACACCAGTCTTTTTGTAAAAGATCTACATGTTTATTCTGCAAAAATAAAAACACTTTATTATTATCTAATTTTATATCATATCAAATGAGGTTAAGACAAAAAATAAATAAAGTAGTTTATTAAATAGTTATTTTATATACATTTGTATTATTCTATGAAAAAAACAACCTTGGATTACATTTGACATATACTCACTTGACAATTTTTTAAATAATAAATTTCTGATAGGGTATATTAAATATTTTAAAATTTAAATGAAATAATTAGATACAAATTTTTAATTTAATTTTTTTGTTCTTAATCTTTATGAGCATTTTTGCCATAAATTCTACTGTATTTTCTCAATGATTTTAGTGTTTTTCTTGTATTTTTGTCTTATTGACATTTTTGGATGTGTTTTTAATTAATTTTTGTAGTACTGAAAGGTTTACTTGTTTTATCCAATCATGTTTTAATTTTATTGCAATAAAGTTGAATTTAAATTCAATAGTATTATATGATATTACTTTAAATTTCTTATACCAGATTCTTTCTTGTATACCCAAGCGGAAAACTGATTTACTCACTCGTAACAATTTGAATTGAATCACAATTCTTTGTCTATCTGACGGGACAGGTGTTAATATGACAGTAGACTTGAGATGTGACATCATCATACCTGTGATGACGTTGTACACACTCCGACAGTCGGTGTTGCACAGCCCAGCCAGGTGAAACTATTTCTAGGAAATCATACCTATCAGGAAGATCGTGGGCTCACTTTATAGTCTTGGTCTCTGTACGACGTCATACAATACCTGATGATGCAATAGCACCATTCTAGTCAGTTTGCAAGAAATTGTGATTCAATTTGAAACACTTCAAGTGAGTAATCCTTCTTTCCACTGATGAATACAAGAAAAAATCTGTAATGTATACCACAGTATTATATTCAACTATTCATCCAATACATTAAAAAGCAATAAAGCACTGAATCGGAGCTTGTTTTACAGAACATGTTCAAAAAATATAGAAAGTTATTTGAACAATATAAAAATGTAAACAACATTAAAAGTTAATCAGATTTTCTATCTGTGCATGTAATTTTTGTTATTTATTATTCCAAATTTGAATGTTTTATATAATTACCTTTTATTGTAAATGCAATTTTTTATAATTACCATTTTATATTGACCAAATGATGTATTTTCATTTGTAAATAAAATGAATTGAATTGAAAAGTTATTACTTTAAAGCAACATTGTAAAGAAAACAAGAACAGATACAGATACTACATATCAATAAAAAAAATTAATATCAAACATAATAATAATAATCATAATAATAATCGTAATAATAATAATAATAATAATTATCATATCAAGGTCTTAAGTACAGAAACATAAATAATTTACCGTCAGTTGATTAATTTATAAAACATATATGAAACATAATGTAATATTAGCTTTATATAGCATTTACTGTCTGTCTGTCTGTTATACTCGGAGCACTCGAGGTATGGACTTGTACAGTAATTTGCTACTCTCCTGAGGGTCTGACCTACCTGGTAAATTGGTGCCGCTACTCTCATCCATCCTCATAGCCAGGAATTCAGTACAGAGGTGGGAGAGGAGAGGTACCTGGGAGGGACTTTGACATGGAAGATCCGCCCACCTTAGGGGAAGGGGGGCCCCCGGCTGGGGCGCCCTTGAATACACTACTGATTTAAAATTTACCCAAAGTATTAAGTTGGAAATTATTTTAAATTATTATTTTTAGATCTGTTTATGAATGGGCCCCTAATAACCCTGGGACCCAGTGTCTTGCACTGGCTGCAGTGCCCGTAGCTATGCCACTGTCATTCCATTTGGCATTATGGTCTATTGCAATATTAACTTCGAAATTTGAAATTGAATGACCAGCTGAATTGAAATGTTTGGCTAATGCTTGATCAAACTTAGATGTTTTCATAGCTGATCTAAGTGTCATTCTCATACAGTATGTTAATTTCTGTGTTTTCATTAAAATTTTTGTTATATTTAATTTCCGAATCCATCATTAAATTACAGAAGTGTTATCTGATGAAGATAAAGGGATTTCTTTTGTGCCTGTGTGCTGTCATAGAAACTTGTAAGGCATCGGTCATTACCATAGCAACTTACAACCTCTGGAATGTCATGTTTAATTGGGACGTGAGGAAACAGTATATTGCGAGAAAAGTAAGTTGTAACAAGCAAATTTTTTTCATAGGTAACAATCAATTTAATGGTAGTTATATTTTCTATATTTTGGGGTGGTTTTTTTTTTTTTTTTGAATAGATAGATAAAAATCTTCCTTTATTCTGGATACTTAGTCAGTATTGTAACACTGTTTAGTAACACTTGTCTAGGGTATGATCTTGAATTACATTAAATTACAAAACAAAATTAAAAGAAAAATGTATAAATATGTGTATAAATTATATAAATACCTGTACAAGAAACAGGAAAGAAAAACAATTGGGTAAAGTAAAGGAGATTTTTAAAGGATTGTATAAGGAAAGAAAATGAATATTGCTACGAATATCTGATGATAGATTGCTACATAATTTAACTGAGCGATATTTAAAAGGTCTCTTTTAACTCAATTGGCAAGGAATTCCACAATTTAGCACCAGTATATTGATTCTGAATTGACCTAAATTGGTTCTGCAGTTGGGAATGGCTAAATATAACAGTTTATAAAAGCATATAAACATCACACTACAGTAATGCATTATACAGGGCTGTATCTGTAGGAAACTAAGGTTGGGTGGTACAAATTTTTAGGCTGGGTGGGAGATAACATTGGTAAACTCTGTAAGAGTGAATTTTAAGGATGGGTTAATAATGGCAGTCACTATAGGTAAGAAAAAGTTTTGATTGTTTCGATTGTATCTGACAGAGCCAACTCGAGCAGATCGTTCAAAAAGAGTCGTTGGCTAGGCCAAGCTGACTCTAGCAGATCGACCGCGAACCGACTTGAGCGGAATGATTGTGTCAAATTCAGGCCGGCAGACTAGAAGCAGTCCGGACGTCGTGCAAGCCATATTGATAGGCTGCCACTTGAAGCCTACAGTATGATGCTAGGCCTTGTTTGGCGAATGGATTAAGTATTGATGCAGATTTTAGAATGTTTTAAATATTTTCAGGCCATTTACCTTACAATCTGATGTCCCAATTTTATTTTAACAAATATAATTGCACAAATAATAAAAAGATAATAATAATAATAATAATATTAATAATAATAATAGTAATAATAATAATAAAAAACAAGAGTGAGATTCGAACCTCATACAGTCGATTAACTTTACACATAATACGTGCACATATTTATCGCTCAACTACACTTCACCTGATATGTATGTATAGTTCATTTCTATAATGCATCAACTCGACAATATACATAGATATGGTGCAACAAGGTGAGGGTTTGTACTCTTATATTATCTTTTATTGTTTTTGTGCTTTTGGCTATTAAAAAATATCTCATCAAGCATCATTGAAGCCTGTGCATCTGACATATATACAGTACACAAGTCCTTCATTAATGATAATCATATAGAGCTATGAATATATTTAGAGGATGATTATAATTTAATTTAAAAACATATATACCGTACTCGCGCCCGGGCGCTTAAAATATTTTTTGCACTTTCTGGGGGGCGCTTATTCAAACGGGGCGCTTATTTAAACGGGGCACTTATGAAAACTGTGTGGAAATTGAGGGGGCGCTTTTGGAAATAGATGAAAATTGAGGGGTTCTTATGGGAAATTATTAAATTCAAGCGGCACTTTTTGAATGAAAAAAAGATTATATAAGGAAGGAAATTACAAATGATGGTTAGGCGAAAAGATAATCGTCCGGAGAACATTGCTCATGACAAGATTGCGTGAATATTTACGTAACAGCAAAATAGCAGATGCAATTAGTGGTGGTTGGTAGTGGTTAGCTTGTTGGCCATTGGCCGATTGACATTAGCAGGATGGCAGGATCATTGTATTTTTTCTTGAAAACTCAGATGAGAATGTGCTAAAGGTCGGAAAAAGAAAAAGAGGAGTAGGAATATGCATAGACAAATATGTAAAAAGAGTAAAGTTGGAAATATACTGTCTGTCCAGGGATCGGAGCTATCATCTGTCCAAGAAAAAAAAAAATCTTATGATATTATTATAAGGGGTGCCTTATGATATTATTATAAGGGGTGCTTATTCAAATTTATATGGGGCGCTTATTCAAACGTGGCGCTTAAGGAAATTTTTATGTTACGAGGGGTGGTTAATCGAGAGGGGCGCTTATTCAAACGGGGCACTTATTCGCGCGATTACGGTATGTTTATATGACCTCATAAGGATGGATCTATTCAGGTTAAACACCATGGATAACCCATGAAAGTCTGAAGAAGACTTATAACCTAATTATCCACTATACAGGAAATCAAGATGGTTTCTATGAGAGGGATCATAAAAAAACACAATGTGTCTTGATGTTGGAGATGGCTTTCATATTTCACTACAATATATCACTAATTAGAAGTGTTTCTTTTGCAACTTGGAAACTATATAATAGTGAAAACTTACACTATTGAAACATATGATGACATAAAATCTAATTAGACAGGAAATCAAAATGGTTTCCAACAGATGTTTCTCCTTGAAAAAACACAATGCACTTGATGTTACAGAGTGTGTTTCTTTTGCAAGTTGGAAAATGTAAATCATGAAAACATAGCTTGAATCATGATGACATGAAATTTTATTAGAGAGGAAATCAAAATGCTTGTAGTTTTTTTTATGAGACACTGATTCAAGATGTTGTTCATGAAACAGACAGTGCCAGAATGCTGTTCTGTAACATAATATGTATGCTGCCCTCTATTTAGGATTTCAGTCTTTCTATGGTCGGTGGTTGTCGTTTATATTG